ACAGCGTATCTTCCCACAAGAGGCTGTTTAGGCCACAGAAAAACATGGTCCCCTCGGAGTTTGAGGCTAGAAGTTGTACAGCTAATTCTACTTCCTACGCTGGTGTCGGTCCAATCCAACAATCCCGTTCCAGTAACTTCCTCAAAGACTGACAATAGCTGTACTTTCAAACAAACAGTACTATTGGGGTTCAGAAAAGTTTAGAGTTTCTTCCAAAATAATGGGCAGTTTGAACCCAATCCTGCTCAAAGTTCTTTCCAAGCATATAGTTTGCTAAAAACATCTCATTTCATGAGGTTATTTAAAATTTTACATGGCAATCGTATATGGCACTAAACCAACCCCAAAAAGCCCTGCTGCTTAGAATATGGCTTTAAATACTGGTTAGTCTCCCTATGTAATCAAAAGTAAACTGCCTAAAAGGAATTAAACTGAGTTTTTCATATCAATTCACAAATATATATTGCATTCAATAAATAAAAACACCAAAAATCTACCTTGGTGAACGCTTTCTTCAATTTAAATTGTATGCCCAACTACTGGGTCTACAATGACTACGTAAATCCTTGTGTATAAAGGAGAGCATAAGGATAACCACTTACCTTGTTTAAACTCCTCAACCATGACCATCCGTGTTGAAACGGACACATTGTACGTGGAGTTCTGCTGTGGGTATGCTGGTGTAATTATAGGCATAAGATGGTACCTATCACTGGGGTTTACCTACATATAATAACAGCCAATCAGTTTCTTCAAGTACATATGCAACAGATACTTGGACTTTTTACCCCTTGTTAAACTGAACCAATGATTAAATTTTATTTCATTCATAGCTGGAGTTGAGAAAGAAAAACCATGTAAGGAGACATTGTTTTTATAGGAATTCTATAGAATCAGGATTTGGTAGAACTAATGGTCTGTTTCAGTCACTCAGGCATGACTATTTTGGTAACCTCACTCTACAGAAACTGTGTGCCTGCCGAGCAAAAAAGGTCCTGCTTAGACGGCTATTGATGTTTAGTTTTTCTTTTTTCAACAACAGAAATGGGGATGCACACACAATTACACTTTTCAGAAATGTCTTACTCCAATATTCTGTGTGAAACAAATTTTAAACAAGATAAAACTTATATTTTAATATACCCTCAACATATAAAGAATTAAGCTTAATTTATTAACACATGTTGAAACTATATTTTCCATGTTGGTATCCTTTTATGAGATAATGAACTGATTTAATAACTGTTTATCTTAATCCATATACTAGGGATAAGTGGCATATTTCCTCAAAGAAAACTGTAAACTCACATCTCTCCAAAAATGCCTTCGGGTATGGAAAACTTGAAAATATACAACTTGAAATAATTAACATAACTTGAAGCTAATAATTTTGATACTGTAATAAGATAGCGAAACAATGTAGAAAAATAGAATTTTATAAACCTCTAAAGCCTTATTCAAACCTAAATATTTTACCTACTAAAAAAGTGCATGTTGCTAACATTTAAATGGAGTCAGCAGTAAAGACCGGAACTTCCCAAGCAGAGTGGAAGCTCTTTAGCACAAACTCGTTTCTGTCATCTGAAATACCCAAACCAATTTTTATAATTACATCATAGAAATTAAAGTTATATGCTTAGAAGGTATCTGCCACAGGTAATTAAGCAACAGTTTTCCTATAACAACCCAATTTTAACAATATTTACATCAAATAAAAAAATACAGGGATTTTTAGTATCCTTTTATTTTTTTTTTAAGCACAAATGCCCGCACACTTTGACTTACAAGGTAGTTCTATATAAAATAAATTAAAATGTTAGTGAACTTGATATTATAAATATGTACAATTAAATGTAGTTTACAGGATACATAATTATGCTTCTCACATCAGAAGACAATTATAGCTGAGGTTATCTAAGAGAAAGTGTAATACGAACATGTCCACTCATAGGTAAAAGGATGGAAAGTGTCCCTGAAGTTTATGCAGATGACTTTTACTTGTTATTGCACAGTGTGAATTTGTAGGGGAAAAAATAATACACTAACCCTTGGGTCCCATACAGGCAAATTAAGATTGCATTCTTCAGGCTGTTTCAATAGCACTGGATTTGGCCATTCCCTGTTTAAAAAGATTGTAGCACTTGATAAGACTTGGATATTACCATCTAAACGTATTTTGTTAAACATACAGCATTGTGAATGTGATCCTTCTTCATTCATTTTGCCCTTTTGGTATACATAATCTTTTATTCCTGTTGACGTTAAGCTACTTGAAACACTTTTCCTCTATGAAATTAACTTAAACCACTTGGTAGCTTTCTCAAACTGAAGTAAAACATCTTGTCCGTCCCTCAAAGAACTGATAACACACTATTTAAATTAAAAAGTACTACTCTAAGACATCTATTTAAATTAAAAAGTACTACTCCAAGACATCTGACATGTTCACCTAAACCCCTAACAGATAAATCCTCTTGAAAGACAAAAATCCTATCTTTAGCTCATTCCAAAGACAACTGAGAATGAAAAAGTTAACTCATTATAGGCAAAGCACAAATAATTATAAAAATTGATTAGGACATTTTTCTCTGCCGCATAACTAAAGGTTATGAGTATGTGTAATAAAAATTTGTGATGTGAACACATAATTTTCAAGATGAAGCCTATGAGTTAGCCACTTCGGTCCTTTATGGAAGAGATTAAAAACTGGAAAACATTTGCCATTCTCCATATCAAGGTTAACATCTTTAACATTATATTTGCTATATATGTGTAGCATTAAGAAAAATTCTGACATTCTTTAGTTATTCTCATCAAACCTGATTAGACATGATGAAGTACTACCAAAACCATAAAGAACAGAATGTGTCTTTAAGTGTGGCACAGGCTTTACATTATCAACTATATCAAAAGAACCCTCTGATTTTTATAAAATAGAAAAGACTCTTTTTGTTCCCGAGGGAAGAGGTATAGGAGTTGGCAGGCATAGAGGAAAGACAAATCTCTAAAATTTGATTAAAACCAAAAACCCTGAGCTTTTGGGCCAAAGCAACTAATACAAAATGCCAATAACCTTCTATCTTATTTCTTAAAAAAAAAAAAAAGTGGCACTAGCTGGTTTGGCTCAGTGGATAGAATGTCAGGCCCGTGGACCAAAGGGTCCCAGGTTCGATTCTGATCAAGGGCACATACGTACCTTGGTTACAGGCTCGTCCCCGGCCCAGGCCCTGGTCAGGGCATGTGCAGGAGGCAACCAATCAATGTGTTTCTCTCACATCAATGTTTCTCTCTGTCTTTCCCTCTCTTTTCCATTCTCCCTAATAAACAATGGAAAAATATCTTCGGGTGAGGATTAACAACAATAACAAAGTGAACTTCCTGAAATAAGGGAGTTAAAGAAAAATCTCTGCAGGGTTAATGAATAATCTCAGAGCGATGGTCAATTAATTGCCATTTTTCAAGCAGTTAGTTATTCTAAAAAGCTTTTTATATAGCCCAGCAGGGGTGGCTCAGTGGTTGAGTGTCAACCCATGAACCCAAAAGTGACGGTTCAATTCCAGGTCAGAGCACATGCCCAGGTTGCAGACTCAATCCCCGGTGGTGGGAGTGCAGGAGGCAGTCAGTCAATGATTCTCTCTCATTATTAATGTTTCTCTCTCTCTCTCTCTCCATCTCCCTTCCTCCATGAAATCAACAAAAATGTATTTTTTTAAAAAGCTTTTTATATAGTTTGCATCTTAATGGGCAGCTGAAAGCAAAAACAATCAAGAAACGAAGGGACTACAGCTTTAGAAGAGAAGAAGGTGGTGCACATATAAAATTTATCCCAAGTAGCTGATATCCCAGCCTATCAAGTCACTAAATTACAGACATTACGGCTAAAACTCAGAGTTTATTTAGAGGGTAAGTTTCTGCAGGAGGTACAAATAGCAACTGCCTTACTATCCTGGGAAAGCTAGGGAGAGGGAATGGAATTAAGTTTGCCATTTTATATACATGACCTCCCCCACCAAGACCACCTAAATGGCTATAACATGAACTAAAATTTGAATCTGAAATCAGCTGCAGAAATGTCATAGAAATAAGACTGAACTTCAGTGTCTATAATCAATTTTATTTTAATATAATCTAAACACATACCATTTAGAAAATACCAAGAAAAATTTATGTACAAGAGTTGATGCTATTGCATTTGGATAAAGCTGGCAAGTTCTTGCTACTAGCATAGCCCAGGAAACACCACCGAGGAAACCTAATATATTGGAATAGATGTTGTGGCCTGTTGATAAGGGAAAAGCAAAAAGAAAAGTTAGTGTTGAACAAAAGCTTAAATGGTTTTAATAAGCTAGCCAACAAATTCTGAACTCACGTTTGGCCCACAGTTTGATAGCTCTCAGAGTTAACCTGAAGTTGTCAATGTTTGGTACTAGGTGTAAAATTTCATCGGTTACCCTGCAACCTGATTAACGGGAGTGAAAAAAAACAAAACATTGAATCATCAAAAATTTAATGATAATATTTCTTTTAAATTTCTGAGATTAATGTCAAACTTAAAAACTTTATTGGTAAAATCAATAATGTTAATTAAATTAAGAGGCAAATAAAAAACTGTAAAACTTTCATCTCCTATCAAAAGCAGTACCCTCAACCAAGAATCTGAACTGTAATGTGCTTCATCTCAAACTTTCAACCCATAATTAATCTAGTCCAGAAATACTAAGGAAGGCTTGAGCCACTTAAATTGCCAAGATTTGTTCTTCAAGAGCATGGTAACAAGCAGTGCTAATACACGTATTCAAAGGCAATCTTTTAAGTACAACAGTTGAAAACATTACAAAGGACATCAGAATCAAAATTAATTAGAGTTACATTGTAAAACCAAATCATTAGCAATAGAGTGCCAATGTCAGACAGTCTTTAAATGTCCCAGGAGATTAAAAAAAAAGAGTGAAAAATGAATAAAATAAATTACCAAATACCCTCTATAGTCTGATAAATAAGGCACATTCAATTTGAATAACTATGGATAAACAATATGGCTATAAAACACTTCATTAAACTTGAGTTTAAACTATTTCATATTTGACAAAAACTGCTACTATGCAAAAGGAAGTAGGTTTTCACGTACCGTTAAGACTTCTTATGCATCTTATATCTAAATTTTTAAGCAGACTGTCATCTCGTAAGTCCAAGTCTTCTGGAATAGTCTGTAGTGCTAATCTTGCAAATAAAATATCAATCTAAAACAAAAACAAAACTCAACATTCTGTATCTATCAAACTATTTTTAGGCGTTTCTTTAAAAAAGAAAGCATTTATATTCCGTAAAGCCAGGATCTTTTCATCAATTATCAACATGACAATGCCTCCAAGAGCCCAATCAATATTACTTCTCTCATAGGTATTTTAACCAGATAATGTTAAAACATGGCAATATGAAACAGAACATGCATAAATACCTATTGTCATTTTAATCATACTAAATTTGATTTCCTATAAAATGCACCTACTGGATTTACTAAGTTTGCTAAATGTATACACTGGATCACTTAAAATTAACTGTTTCGTTCTCCATCTATATGAACTGTAAAATGAACTGTAACAGGTACACAAATATAAGGCTATATTTAGCACAAATACACCTTTTGGTAAAAAAGAAGCTCTTTATTTTAAGAACTTACATATCTATACTATTATATTATAGTATGTTTCTCCAACTTAGTTTGACTAAGAAAGCAAAAACAATACTGGCTAATTTTGAAGGCTTTTAGAATACAAGTGACATTCCATTTCTTTTTTTCAAGAAAAGGTTGGTGTGCAAAGAAACTTAGCAGAGATCTGTTCATTATTCCTGAGGGTACCATTTCATGTTTCCAGAACTCTGGATGTTGCTTGAAACAAGCCTTTGATAAGATCACTTCAAAAACAAGTATTTTAAGAGCTTATTATGAAAAATCATTCACATGAACCTGTGATAGGAAAAAACTATACATATAAAAATAGTACTTATAGCGTTGCATGTTTTCTAATAAAACAGATTCTAAAGTCCCAACTTAGACAAAAATAAAGATTATATGCTCACAAAAATATTAACTCTAGAAAGCAACTAGATGATGACACTGACATTTAAAAAATAAATAAAACTGCCCCCACGGTGTGGCTCCGTGGTTAAGCGTCGACCCATGAACTAGGAGGTCTTCAGTTTGATTCCAGTCAGGGCACATGCTCGGGTTGCAAGCTTGATCCCCGGTACAGGGCATGAAGGAGGCAGCCAATCAATGATTCTCTCTCATAATTGAGTTTCTTTCTTTTTTTTAAATATATTTTTATTGATTTCAGAGAGGGAGAGAAAGATAGAAACATCAATGATGAGAGAGAATCACTGATTGACTACCCTCTGCACACCCCATACTGATCAATTACACATAGCAAAAGCCACCTTACCTCTATCCCATCAAAACACAGTTTGATAACTGGCACAAATGCCTCTTCAACAGCCTGAAAGAAAATCCAACAAGTTTAATGTCTCTGAAACTACACAATAGATCTATACTAATTTTAGTATTTTTTAATGAATGTGTTATTTGAAATTGTTTGAAAACAATTTAGCATAATACCTGACAGATTCTCAGCAACTAGCTTTAACACACTAGAATCTTGAATTAGACAAGCTTAAGTTCAAATCCTTGACTTCTGCCACTCAGGTATGTTATTGTGGCCAAAATACATAATATTTATTTTGTTTGTCTTATTTCCTACTCTGTACACCAGATTTATGATTTCAGGTTTATTGTAAAGAATAAAATGCAAGCATACATGTTATGTACTTAAAAGGGTTTGGCAAATTTTAAGAGTTCAACAAATGATGTGTCTATATCATAAAACTCACTCAAATGACTAATTTTGATAACTCCTCCCGTTTCACCCCAAACATTTACGTACTCTTAAATCTTTTACTTCTTCCTGTAATTTCAACTTATCATAGAATGAGGTGAAAAAGTCACTTCGATCAACATGCCTTGGTGCAACACACAACGCATCAATATCGGCACCTAGAAAAGATTAAGACCATCAACCATTAATTTCTATTAGAAAAAAATTCTTTTGTGTCTTACCATGGCCGTTTTTGATGTTGAAAATCTGTTAACATTATATTGGTGAACCAATAAAAATGCACCCCTCCCCTTAAAAAAAAATTACCAGTCAATATAGGAATAATATGATTCTAATTAATGGGATATGTATTTTCCTATAGCATCCTAGTTGCAATGACCCGGGTGAGCTGGGAGACAAAGAAAGGACTAAGATATGACTTTTATGATGAAGAGAAGGAATTATTCAAGAATAGACCCAACATCTTGATGTTATTAGTCATGCATATGTCCATTAGTGAAACAAAGAAATAGTTTTCTTCTATACATAATGTGACTAGTTCTTATGGGCTCCTACCTATCCCCTAAATGGGATAAAAAGGATAAATATCAAGAAGGACCACTGGCAAAATCTAATGAGGCAGACAATGAATGGTAAGATATTTGTTATTAATTTAGTGTTTGATAGCAGGTCAACACTGAGTGCACAGGAAGAACAACAACAAAAAAGGAGATGATTAAAAGGGAGAGATAAATGTGGAATCAGGTTAACATAGACATTTTCCTAAAAGACTCAACTACCATGAAGGCTGTTATTTACCACATTCATGAAGTAGAAGAGCACATAGTACACTACTGGCACAAAGTAGTGGGAGATGGTGAGAAGGAAGGATGCCGGAACAAAAAGAACACATATATATTGGCAGGTAACTTTTAACTTAGAGGCCAGTGGTTAATGGTTAAAAAGTACAGCCTCAGAATTCCCAAGAAGAATCCTAGTTCTGCTGAGATGGCTGGGGGAAATTATTCAAGCTTTATTGCCTCTTTAAGTCTCAGATTCCTATATATTACATGAGAATAAGAGTACTGAGGAATAGCCCTAGCTGGTTTTGCTCAGTGGATAGAGCATCAGCCTGCAGACTTAAGGGTCCTGGGTTCGGTTCCAGTCAAGGGCACATATCCAGGTTGCGGGCTCAATTGCTAGTAGGAGGCATGCAAAAGGCAGCCAATCAATGATTCTCTTTCATCATTGATGTTTCTATAGCTCTCGCCTTCTCCCTTCCTCTGAAATCTATAATAAAAGGGTAATATGCTAATTAGACCAGACATCTTCCAGACATCCTTCCTGATGAAGTGGGGGCCAGAGGCAAGTCAGCCCAGGTCCCGGGTGCCTATGGGTGGTCTGAGGGAAGCCAGCCCGTGTCCTAGGTGCCTGCTGGTGGCCGGAGGAGGGAAGCCTGGTTCCTGGGTGCCAGAGGGAAGCCAGTGCTGGCAGCTGGGGGAGGGAAGGCCTACTCTTGCACAAATTTTTGTGCATTGGGCCTCTAGTAAAAATATATAAACAAACGAACAAAAATTGTGTTTGTCTTTACAAAGCTTTAAAGAAAAAGAGCACTGAGAAATAAATAAGATAATGAAGACCAAAAACATATTCGTGCCATGCTCAATAAAAAGAAAAGGTTCAACATATGTTCTCTACCATGACAACATTTTTATTGTACCGTATTTGCCGGCGTATAAGACGACTGGGTGTATAAGACGACCCCCTAACATTTCCACTCAAAATACAGAGTTTGTTATATACTCGCCGTATAAGACTACCCCCTCTTCCGCACACCTTCCACACACCAAATAAAAGGTAAAACAATATCAGATTTGATTTTAACATTTTAATTTATATTCAACTGCTTATGACATGCAGGAAAACTGTCACAAGGCTGTATGTAATCAAACATATACATAAAACAGTGCAAGTTTATTACCGGTAAACATACCGGTAATTAACTAAAGAAAACACACTCTATAGACTGGTACCGTAGATGCTTCTCAGGAACACAGGCAAGCAGCCCACAACCTAGAGGGACTGTCAATGATAGAAGTAAGATAACAAATAGAGGTAGAGAGCAAGTGCCGGGCAAGTCCCTAGCAAGTTTGCTGGCGTGACAGTTTCACCTTAAAAGCCTTCAAACTCCTCTTCATCATCTGATATTAAAAGTTCATCAACGACATCTTGGTGCCATGATAGGGATGATAGGGGTTTGACTGGTCGACGTTTTCTATGCTGTACTGTACAATGGGGCAGTATTGTGGTTGGCTGTTGGCTGTATACAAAGCCTGATTTGATTGGTCCCTGCTCCCTGTTTGCCCGCCCTGTCACTATAGCAGTCTGGTCCACCCTTGCATCAGCATCTCCCTGGGACCTCACTAGTGCGCAAGTGCGAGCTCTTCAACATTCTAACAGGCACCATGATAGCGCAAAATCGCGAATCTTCAATGCATATGTAAAGAAATATACGGTAACCCGAATTTACCACACTCGCAAAATCGCACACAGCCAACCATACACCCAGCATGGGATCGCGATTCGCGATTTTGCGCTATCATACTGGGTGTATGGTCGGCTGTGTGCGATTTTGCGAGTGTGGTAAAATCGCATAACAGCAAAATCGCTTAACAGCCGAGCATACATCCAGCAGCGCTGCTGATGCCTGAACGGTATGTGGAATGAAGTGGGCGGGCATCGGGAGGCCACTATGGCACGGGGCAAACACTATGGGCAGTCTATCTGAAGTGTACCTGGCGTATAAGACGACCCCCCACTTGGAGGCATATTTTTCAGGGCCAAAAAATCGTCTTATACGCCGGCAAATACGGTATATTTATACGCACAGAGGAAAAAAAGTGTCAATAAGAAAATATTGACAATGATTGTCAATGGCTACAGATAAACATTTTTATTTATTTATTTTCCTTACCTGTGTTTTACAACTACAATAAAAGCATGAGGAAAGAAAACCCATAGTATTTTTAAAACACTAGTTCATATTTGTTCTGATTTTCAGCCCGATATTCTTCAGGCAGAAGAAATGACATAGAGAGCAGCACTATTCAAAAGAACCCTCCAATGAGGAAACTGTTCTATGTCTGCACTTTCCAATATGATAGCCACTAGCCATACATGGATATTCAACACTTAAAATGTGGCTACTTCCACTGAGGAACCTAATTTAAAATTTCCGGTAATATGGTATTGGACAGTGCAGGTGTAGAATGCATATTTTATTTCTTTCTCCTTACCAAATTTAGGCTCCTTGAAGTGTTCTCTTTAATGCAAATGTAAACTGTAGATACAACACAAGCAACTAAGATGGAATATCTCATTATAATTTTTTAAGAACTAATAAAGGTATTCCTTCTCAAAATAATTAAAACAGTATTTACCTTTTGTGTGTACTCCTAATCTGTAAGATCCAAATGTAAAAATTTTTCCTCCAACATTTTCAATTACAGATTGTGGAAGATTCTGTAGAAACAAAAAAAAAAAATGGTCATTTTCCCAGTGGAACACAGAGAAAATTATCCTAATATATAAAAACCCTGGGTCGTAATGACCAGTCACGACCAAGGTTCAACTAACCGGAAATCAGTCCTGCCCCAGCACTGACTGCTGAGGGGGCTTGCGAATCAGGACCAGAGAGAGGCCTGAAGAAAGAAGCAGGGGCTGATCCGTTGCCTCTGTGGCAGCTTTTGATCAGCACTTGCCTCTCTCTTTCTCTCCCAGTCTGGCCAGCAGCTGCACCTCCATTTCTCTCCAGGCCTCCACCAGGGCTGCTGATCAGCCCCGCCTTTCTGATCAGCTGGGGGTGAGATCAGGCCAGCAGGGAAGGGCAGTTGGGGGCAACCAGTCCAGCAGGGGAGGGCAGTTAGGGCGATCAGGCAGGCAGAGGGGTTAGGGGCGATCAGGCAGGCAGGCAGAGGTAGTTAGGGGTAATCAGGCAGGCAGGCAAGCGATTAGGAGCCAGTGGTCCCAGATTGCGAGAGGAATATGTCTGACTAGCAGTCAGACATCCCCCAGGGGGTCCTCGATCGGAGAGGGTGCAGGCTGGGCTAAGGGAAGCCCTCCCCCACTCCGTACACGAATTTCGTGCACCAGGCCACTAGTTTCAAATCACACTGTATATTAAAAAGTAAGATTTCAGTGCAAAGTTATATAGAAGGTAAACAAGCTTATAAGCTCTACAAAATACCAGGCCTTCATAGATCAACCTAATCTGAAATGCAAGCAACTTTCAACTTTTCATGAGTGTTCTTCTGTGAAGATCCTTATTATTTTAGAATCTTTCCACATTTCTGGAAACTGCTTTAAAGACTGTGGTAAAGGAGATCATGTGATTACGCAGGAGCAATGAATCAGCTTTTATTCATGACAAAGATGCTGCATAAATCTTCACTTATATTCAATAATTATACCAAATATTCTATAGTACATTAAAATATAATTTATCAGATCAAAGTGACTGACTTTGAGGCCAATACTGCTCCATAATGGCTCAGTTGTTTTGATTTCCTAGACCAGTGGTCAGCAAACTGCGGCTCGCGAACCACATGCACTTCTTTGGCCCCTTCAGTCTGACTCTTCCACAAAATACCACATGTGGGCGTGCACGTACAGTGCGACTGAAACTTCGTGGCCCATGCGCAGAAGTCGGTATTTTGTGAAAGAGCCACACTCAAGGGGCCAAAGAGCGCATGTGGCTCGCGAGCCGCAGTTTGCCGACCACTGTCCTAAACTTTGGTGGATGATTCTGAGCAGAACTAAACTTACTGATTGTTTCTTTGAATAGAAACACCAGAAACAGGAGAAAGGAAAGCACTACAAATCATCTTTTCTTTAAAAAAAAAAAAAAAAGAATATTTTCTTAAATGGGTCAAATGAATTCCACACACCATTCTAAGAATACATTTCCATTACCAGAAACCCAGTCACGGATTCCTGTGTGTGTATGATTTTTCATAATTAAAGATTAGGAACTCAGGGAATGTTATTTTTAAAAAACTATTTACTTTAAGAGTCTAATACCTGAAAACCTAAAAAATGCTCACTGTTGTAGGATTCCTTAAAAGATAACAAGACTCAAATATTTAATAAACATCTTTAAAGCACTTTTCCAGGGATATATCTACTATTTCAGTAAAGCTGTAAGTAATTAGTCAGTTTCAGCTTTGAAATGTTGCAACCAAAAAGTGCTTATAAAAAATAAAAAATGTTTAGAAATTACTGAATTCACTTCTTTTTCCTGCTTTCAAAATAATTAGAAACAAATATAAATTACTAGAAGCCCGTTGCAAGAAGATTCGCGCAATAGATCTTCCTTCCCCTGGCTGCTGGCACCGGTTTTCCTCCAGCACCCGGGACCCAGGCCTTTGGTCAGGCCTCAGCAGAGAAGCCAAGCCTCTTCAGTCTTCAGGCTTTGCTCCATACCTGTGTATGCAAATTAACCACCATCTTTGTTGGGTTAATTTGCATTATAGCTCTGATTGGCTAATGGATGTAGCAGAGTGACACCAATTTGCATGTTTCTCTTTATTAGTGTAGATGTTATCAAGAGTAAATCTACTTAAACAAGAACCACTATGTTCTTTGGCAAATTACTTCATATGCAAGTAAGTCAACTTACCTTGCTTTCACTGATTTCTCGTATCCACTCTTTTACCAGGTTATTTAATTTTCCCAAAATTAAAATCCTGTTGATAGAGCAATTATCAATCAGCAAATCATTTGTTATTCTAAATCATCTCTCTATATAAAAGGCTAATATGCAAAGTGTCCCCTCAAGAGTTCGACCATGGTCACTGCATGTCATTGCTCGCTATGACATGCAATGACCACCAGGGGGTGGTGTGGAATGAAGGAAGGCCCTGGCAGCAGCTGGCAAGAAGGCCTCAGCCCTGATCTCTGGCCAGGCCTAGCAACCCTACCCGTGCACAAATTTCGTGAATCAGGCCTCTAGTTACTTATTAAACTGCAACAGTTTTCAAAAGGTGGCTTCCTAAATTAAAAAGTTTACAAGTTATCAGAAAGTAACTAAATAGTAGTTAACAATAAGTAGGCATTCCTCTTTCTCTTGACAATTCTGTACAATAATAACCAATACCCTAAAAAAAATTAAAATATAGGGAATGCAGCTCTATGTAAAAGTTTTTTCCTAAATATCACCCTTGTCTGAAACAGAGATAGATAGAAGAATAATTCAGACTTTCTGAGTCAAGAATGCCTCAAAATTAGTCTACTATGTTAATAAGAAATTACAAATTTTTATATATTTACCTGCGCTGCAGTTCCTCTTCTTCTTCAAAAACCCCATAGGGTTTCAGAGTCTCAATTAGTTTCTGTGTAAGCAGGCAGTCGGTCTCCTTGGGGGCTGCTAAGCTGATAGGAGAGGTAATGCCATAGTGCTTCTGTGGCGGCTGTGTTTGCTGTGATCCCTGCGTTGTAACTGGACTACAAATGAAATGGGATAAAATTACTGTCAAAAAATTTCTACAATGAGCCCTAGCTAGTTTGGCTCAGTGGATAGAGTGTCAGGCTGTGGACTGAAGGGTCCCAAGTTCGATTCCAGTCAAGGGCACATGCCCGGGTTGCAGGCTCAACCCCCAGTAGGGGGCATGCAGGAGGCAGCCAATCAATGATTCTCTCTCATCACTGATGTTTCTATCTCTCTCTCCCTTCCTCTCTGAAATCAATAAATTTTTTTTTTTAATTTCTACAATTTGACCCAAATTGTCATGACTCGAAAAAAGTGTAAGACACATTTCTAAACATAGCTGGTTCCCTGCAACACCCTAGAACCCAAGACACTTTTATTTCTAAAAGACCTTTTACTTGCCTTACAACAAAAGTAAGTGAGCAAATGAAAACATTATTTCTCCTCCCACTCCAAGGAGTTTCACTTTGTTACTACCTAAATATCTAAAATTATAAGTAAGAATCCAGATCAAATATACTGCTAAAAAAATCGCAATCTGGAATAACAGAAAACGGAGAAAATTTTACTCCTTAAAAAGCCCCACCCAGCCAGAGTGACTCAGTTGAGCATTATCCTGTGCACCAAAGGTTGAAGGTTGGATTCCTGATCAGGGCACATGCCTGGGTTTCAGATATGATTCCCCGGTCAATGTGTGCAGAAGGCAACAGATTGATGTCTCCGTTTCTCTCTCTCTCTATCTCTCTCTCCATCTCCCCTGCTCCCCCGAGCATGTCCTCGGGTGAGGGTTTTTAAAAAAGAGTCAAAATCTGTTATTTCTGAAGCAATGCCAAACATACTACAAAAACACTATTTAACAATACAGGAGATTCCCCAAATGCAACTTAACATCTGACTCACAATGAATAAAACTCTTAAATGAACAGGGCATATAACATAAACATAACTTGGGAGGGGAGGACTATATTCACACTAAGCTTGTTACAGATTTTTAGTAAGAGATATACACCTCAACGAGGCTAGTCTAAAAGTTTTTTCCATTTTAAAAGAAATGCAGATTTTTACAACTAATAGGGTTTTGATATAGCATGCTTTAAAACATACAAAATCAGGTGGGGACTAAGGGAAGAACCAAACATCTGGATCATTTATTTCTTCCAAATTCTATTCTTTAACAAATAAAGTATTTGTTTTACACACACACATTTCTATTTTAAGTTCTAAATACACACTTCATTTTTAAAGTGCAATAATCTATTTAAGCAGTAACAGGCCAAATCCAAGAACCCTAGGCCACAAACTGCGGCCCCTTGAGTGTGGCTCTTCCACAAAATACCACAGGCAGGTGCGCATGTATAGTGCGATTGAAACTTCGTGGCCACACTCAAGGGGCCAAAGAGCCACATGTGGCTCACGAGCCGCAGTTTGCCGACCACTGCCCTCGGTAGGTAAGTCCCATAATACATTTACTGCCTATCCACTGGGTTTTGGTTTATACTGTGACTACACTGTGTTTTGTATTTTGTCTTCTGAAAATCAACATAGACCTAAGAATGCCAGGAAGCCCATACTGCTTGTTAATAATTAGGCAGTGGGCTGTGTATCATCTAATCAATGTATCCAGATCAAGTCAGAAATTGTCTCAATTTTAACAGATTTTACAGTAACATTTACTAAGTAAATATCAGATTTATTATCTCTTGCAGCAGTTAATTCCTGTCTGATCACTTCCTCCTACTCCTTTAATTTAAATTGCATAGTTTTTACAAGGTTGTGATGCTAATTCAGAGCTGGGGATTGACGTGAGCACCAAGCACTACCGAATCACTACCGAAGACTAAATATCTTAATGTTCTACTTTTCAAATTTATGTAGTTATCTCCTATGATTAAAATATACAAATTAACTTAAGTTTAAAGTGCATTCAAAATGTCTTGATTAATAACACATATTTTCATCAACCGCCATGACTTCTGGTAACAGCATTCAAAACTGTCTCAAGTCTACTCTCAACTCTGCCGCAATCTGATAAAAGAGAAAAAACAGGCCTATTTTTCTCTGGTTTCACTTCTGAGACTAGTTATATTATTCGTGGTAAGTTTTATCTCTATGGATTTATAATAGAATTTATTATATCTCTTCTCTAAGTTAGATGGCAAGCTAGGACTATTAAAACTATGACACATGTGACATTAAGGAGTTATCCAAACATAGAACATTTTTTTAACACAATACTCAAAGAAAGTTCCATCCGCATACAAGCATAATCAATGAACACAGTAGGGGGTGAGGGTCTGCGCTGGGGGGCAGGAGAGGGCAGGGAGAGATTAATGGGGGGGAAAGGAGACATATGTAATATTTTCCATAATAAAGAATTTAAAAAAAAGTAAGAAAGAAAGCTCCATCCTTTCCCCATAATAGGCTGTCCAAGACCTGACTCTAATTAGGATATTTAGGTATTTAGAATAGCAACAGTTTTGTACAATTAGCACAGTAGACTCCTTATTACAGCTAGACATTTGTTTCAAAAGTTTAGACATCCAGCTTTCCTTTCACCACTACAATAGCAGCCATGAGTATGCTCAGGCTTCAAAAGGGCTTGTCTCCAGTGTCCTCCGCTGTGGCAAAAAGAAGGCTGGACTCCAATGAGACCAATGAAATTGCCAATGTCAACTCCCATCAGCAGATCTGGAAGCTGATCAAAGATGGGCTAATCATCCAAAAGCTTGTGATTGTCCATTCCCAGGCTCAATGCCAGAAAAACATCCTGGCCCACAGGAAGGGCAGGCATGCGGGCACAGGTAACTGAAAGAGTACTGCCGATGCTCAAATGCCTGACAAATTAACTTGGATGAGGAGGATGAGAATTCTTTGCAGCTCCTTAGAAGACACCGTGAATCTAAGAAGATTGACAGCCACATGTACCACTGCCTGTACCTGAAAGTGAAGGGTAATGTGTTCAAAAACAAGCAGATTCTCAGGGGACACATCCACAAGCTGAAGGCAGACAAGGCTCACGAGAAGCTTCTGGCTGACCAGGCCAAGGCCCGCAGGTCTAAGACCAAGGAAGCAGCAAGCACTGCGAAGAGCAGCTGTAGGCCAAGAAAGAAGTCATCAAGACTCTGCCCAAGAAGGAAGAGAACAAGAAATAAAGTGTCACCTTTCTTACCTACACATAGTGACTTTGGCAACTGCATTAATCATTTAATGAACATAGCCTTCAACTACCAAAAAAAGAGAAAAGTTTAGGCAACCAGTCCTGGCCAGTATGCTCAGTGGTTAGACCTTCAGCTGTGCACCAGGGGTTGGTGGGTTCGATTCCTGGTCAAGGGCACACACCTGGATTGCAGATTTGATCCCGAGCCCTAGTTAGGGCACGTGCCAGAGGCACCAATCAATGTGTCTCCAAATCTCTCAATCTCCTGTGGCGCGCGCACACGCGCTCTCTCTCTCCCCCTCCCTTCCTCCCTTCCACTATCACTAAAAAAATAAAAATAAATTAATAGGAAAAATCTCCTCGGGTGAGGATTAACAAAAACAAAAAAGGTTTAGGCATCCAATTTACCAATACATACACTCTGAAATATCAAGTACACTAATTACAAAGCTAACTCAAAGAGTGCAAGTTCCCATGATTTGTGAACTGCAGTTTGGTAGCCATAATTCAAAGTATGATCAATCTTTGGATGTATTATTACTGATAATTATTCCTATTACAAGTCAGTGAAGAATGTTTAAAATACTCAAATGGGCTCTGACCAGTTTGGCTCAGTGGATAGAGAGTCGGCCTGCGGACCGAAGGGTTCCGGGTTCGATTCCAGTCAAGGGCATGTACTTTGGTTGCGGGCACATCCCCAGTGGGGGTGTGCAGGAGGCAGCTGATCGAAGTTCCTCTCTCATCGACGTTTCTAACGCTCTATCCCTCTCCCTTCCTCGCAGTAAAAAATCAATAAAATATATTTAGAAAAATAAAATACTCAAATGGTTTTGGTATATATAGTAAAATTTAAATTCCAGATGCCAAAATATGTTTCAAAACATTTAAGAAATTATAGCTATTGCAAAATGTTAAAGAAGATAAACACAATTTTCAGAACCACACTTAAGCAAGACACAAATCCCAAAAGCCATACACAAAACAGATTTGCCTAAATGAAAATACTCTCAACTTTTATATAGCAAAAATACATCATAAACAAAGATAAAGCAAATAAGTGAGGAAAATACATGCAACCTCTGCCAAAATAGTAATATTATAAATATGTGCACACACAGTTTCACTGCATATCAGGAAAACAAATCAAGACAACCATTTTCTGCCAGACTGGAGAAAAACAAAGTTGATGGATAGCTGATAAAAATTAAAAAGTTATTATGTAGGGGGACTAAATGGTGATGGTTGGAGAATTGACTTGAGGTGGTGAACACACAGTAAGTGTACAGATGATGTATTATAAATTGTACACCTGAAACGCAGATAATTTTATTAACCAATGTCACCCCAATAAATTCCACAAAAAAGTTTTTGTGTTTTGTTTTTTTTTAAAGAATAAGGTAGTTATTATGTGTAAGTTGCACAGATACGTGCCCACAATGTCAGGTAAAAGGCTGTTGAATATAATTATGATAAAAGCTACTATTTATTGAAACATATTCCAGGTAATGTATGAAGCACTTTACATTATTCCCAACTGTTCCTAACAATTCTATTAACTCTCTCCACTTAACAGGTGAAGAAAATTAGAGAAAAAGAAAAGACTTACCTAAATTCACTTAACTATGGTACCAGGCATCTGATTATAATTATAACCTCTATGTATAGAGGCTAGAGTGTCTCTAGACATCTTTCACAATACAGCCTTATATTTTTAAAAATTATGTGTAGTGTGCCTACATACAGAAACAAGATGAGAAAATTTCATTTTCTATTTTATAAATTTGTTTCAATTTATTAAGTTATTCTTAACAAATGTTAATGATATCATATAAAGTTGAAAACCTTCTAATTCTACTATCCACGATTAAATTAAGCTAGTGACAGTAAGAGATTAAAATCATCACCTGGCAAAAAGGTAGACCAAACAAATGCTCAATTTACAACAATTAAGCAGCTAAAAACCAAGTTTATACTAATCAAATGTATTATTTTAAAGAAGTAAAATAAAGATTTTAAAAATGAGTTTTTCAGTGCAGTACTTATTAGAAACTAGAGGCCCGGTGCACAAAAATTTGTGCATTTGGGATTGGGGGAAATCCCTCAGCCCAGCCTGTGCCTTCTTGCAGTCTGGGACCCCTTGGGGGATGTCCACCTGCTGGCTTAGGCCCATTCCCTGGGGGATCGGGCCTAAGCTGGCAGTCAGACATCCTTCTGGGAGCCCTCAGGGGATGTCCTCTTGCCAGCGGGGAGCAGACCTAAACTGCAGTCAGGCATCCTTAGTGCTGCTGAGGAGGTGGGAGAGGCTCCCGCCACCACTGCTGTACTGGCAACACTGGGAGAGGGGCTGAGGGTCATTTTCAGGCTGGCCACACCCCCTTCGGGGTGGGGGTCTCCACTGGGGTGCCTGGCCAGCCTGGGTGAGGGGCTGATGGCTGTTTGCAGGCTGGCCACAGCCCCTTCAGTGGGGGACCCTCACCCAATGGGGGTGTGGCCAGCCTGGGTGAGGGGCTGAGGGCCATTTTCAGGCTGGCCATGCCCCCCAGTGACCCAAGCTCCCAGGCTCTCCTTTTTTTTCCCCTGGGATTTATTTATCTTCTATAATTGAGCAGAAGCCACGGCCCAGCTGGAAACAGGTATCTGGGATTTATCTATCTTCTATAATTAACTTTGTAGCCTTGAGCTGAGCCCAGGGCCGGCCAGGGCAGGTGGGAAGCTTGGCTTCCTCCATCACTGGGGGCAACCCAAGCCTCCTGCTCACTCCAGCTCTGTGGCCACCGCCATCTTAGTTGGGTTAATTTGCATACTCGCTCCTGATTGGCTGGTGGGTGTGGCTTATGGGTGTAGCAGCATGAAGGAGTGATGGGTAATTTGGATCTTTCTGTTTTATTAGTGTAGATAGCAAATACAGGCCTGGCCGGTGTGGTTCAGTGATTGAGCATCGAACCACGAAGCAAGAAGAGGTCACCAGTTTAATTCTGATCAAGGCACATGACCAGGTTTCAGGCTCAATTCCTAGCAGGTGGCATGCAGAAGGCAACCAATCGATGGTTCTCTCTCATAAATGTTTCTATCTCTCTATCCTTCTCCCTTCCTCTCTCTCTAAAATCAATAAAAACATATTGGGGGCGGGAGGGGAGGAGCATGAAAGAAAGAAGCCCGGCAGGTGTGCCTCAGTGTTTGAGCATTGACCTAAGAACAGGAGGTCAGGGTTTGATTCCCGGTCAGGGTACATCCCTGTGCTGCAGGCTCCATCCCTGGTGGGGGCATGCGTGAGGCATCCAATCAATGATTCTCTCTTATTGATGTTTCTATCTCTCTCTCCCTCTGCCTTTCTCTCTGACATAGGAGCTGCCCCCTGGTGGTCAGTGCATTTCCACAGGGGAGCACCGCTCAGCCAGAAGCCAGCTCATGGCTGGCCAGCACAGTGGCAGTGGCGGAAGGCTCTCCTATCTCCTCTGTGACAGCGCTAAGCCGTTAGTCGGAAATCCCCCAAGGGCTCCTGGGCTGCCAGAGGGATGTCTGACTGCCAGCTTAGGCCTGATCCCCTGGGGGAGGAGGCCTAAGCCAGCAGGTGGACATCCCCCGAGGGGTCCTGGACTGCGAGAGGGTGCAGGCCAGGCTGAGGGATCCCTGAGTGCATGAATTTTCATGCACTGGGCCTCTAGTAGTATAATAAATACTTAAGCTGAAATTTACTGAACTCCTAAATACATGTGAAAGACAACTTTAAAATCAGTATACAAAGACAAAGTCTGTTCTCAGTGACAGTCTCAAATTTGGTCTGAGATTCAGATCCTTAACAGATAGCTTGGGGTAGGAGCTGGCTATGAGGGGTCAATGGGTGAAGACTTTCAACGATAAATATTAAAACACACACACACGCAAAGTAAAAGCTTAAAATAAATATTACAGAAACAAGAAAATCAACAGAAGGAAAAAATGAGAGGTGTGCCCTCTAAATCAGTGGTCGCCAACCTTTCAGACCTCGCGGACCACCAGTTGGCGACCACTGCTCTAAATGACAGGCAAGGAGGGAGGAAAGTGAGGTCTAGGTAGATGACCAACACAAAAGAAAAGCACAACAGGCCCTACCCGGTTTGGCTCAGTGGATAGAGCGTCAGCCTGCGGACTCAAGGGTCCCAGGTTTGATTCTGATCAAGGGCAAGTACCTTGGTTGCGGGCACATCCCCAGTGGGGGGTGTGCAGGAGGCAGCTGATCGATGTTTCTCTCTCATCGATGTTTCTGACTCTCTATCCTCTCCCTTCCTCACTGTAAAAAATCAATGGAATATATTTTTAAAAAAAGAAAGAAAAGCACAACAAATCAACAATGATGCTTTCCCAAATAGTAAATGTTTAGTACCTTTGAATCCCAATCTAAACAAAGCTCATACTACTGATGAATTCCTGCCTCCTTATATTAGGCATTTGGTATATGCCAGTGATGGCAAACCTATGACACGCGTGTCAGAGGTGACATGCGAACTCATTTTTTTGGTTGATTTTTCTTTGGTAAATGGCATTTACATATATAAATATCAAAAATGTAAGTCTTTGTTTTACTATGGTTGCAAATATCAAATATTTCTATATGTGAAACGGCACCAGAGTTAAGTTAGGGTTTTTCAAAATGCTGACACGCCGAGCTCAAAAGGTTCGCCATCACTGGTATATGCTGTGGCCCATGGTATTAACAGGTCAATTTCCTCAGAGTAAGCAGCTACCAGCCAACAGATAACACTTTATCGTTTCTTTGTAGTTTTTAGTCAGTCAAGTTAAAACTGTAAGCCTGATATTCTTCTTTGGAAGCAATCAAACAAATCACAATAATTTATTTAATGTATCAATACACCACAGTATAATCTGTTGTTTAAAGGCCTTAAACATAATGTGCCCGTTCAGATTAAGCAGGAAAAATAGGATACTGGACAGAAAAGAAATAGGG